GGAGGCAGGTCCTCACTCGGAGGCAGGTCTTAACTCGGAGGCCGGTCCTGACTCAGAGGGAGGTCTTGACTTGGAGGCCGGTCCTAACTTGGAGGACGGTCCTGACTCGGGTGCTGGCCCTAACTTGGAGGCAGGTCTTGTCTCGGAGGAAGGTCCTGACTCGGAGGACAGTCCTGACTCGGGTGCCAGCCCTAACTTGGAGGCAGGTCTTATCTCGGAGGAAGGTCCTGACTTGGAGGCAGGTCCTCAATCGGAGGCAGGTCTTGATTCGGAGGACAGCCCTGACTTGGAGGTAGGTCCTCACTCGGAGGCAGGCAATTGAAAAATTGTATAACCTTGTAAATAATTATTGGGTTGTCACTTTTTATCATCTTAAACACCAATTATCTAGCTAAATCATCACTGCCTGAGAGAAGTTGAAAGATATCTCCACATAGTTTTCTTTCCATCTTGTCAAAAAAGACAATCTATGTTCTTTACTTCTTCCCAGAGTTTAGGAGCAAGCTTTTTCTGGACAGATAAAGTGTGCTTCATTTTGCAAGCGGCATATCTAGCTCTATGACTGGACTTATAAATCAATAGCCAAATAATTTTTTCCACCATATTTCTTTTTTCCTCTTTGGTTCCACGTTTGAAACCCGTCTCTTTCGCGTCCCTCAAAAATCGTTCAGGGTCCATACCTGCCTGAGTATAATCCTCACTCAGGCAGTTTTCATCTGAGTACAAGTCCTCAAGCCCTAGTAATCTTTTAGCTAACATTAATTGCATCCAACAGCATTTGAATTCAGTTGGTTAGTTTGGTTGAAAAACTTTGCAAAGTTCTTTGCGTTTTGCTGGTTTGCTGCCATAATTCTAATATCATTACATTTTATTTTCAGCCCCTTAATTCTATTTACTAATTACATTTCTGACAGCCTATCTCATATAAAAAGCTTGAAAACGTATTATTAGAAAAACAAATAACAGTGAAACTTACAAATGTCCAGAAAGAGAAATAGGAAACACTCCATGAAAGACGTAAACTCTATTATCACCTTAAGTGATAATAGAGTTTGATTTATTGGTTTCATAAGAAATGAATCTATTTTTAATTACATATTTAGATGGTTGATGCAATTGAGACTCTTAAGATTTTTTTAACTGATGACAGTAAAAAAAAACTGTGCAAGTAAGTGTTGACCACATTGCTCTGGACAGATTAGACAAAGTTGAACTTTTTTAGCTACATACAAAAGACACAATGTTAAAATACATTCTACATCCCTACTCCCTCCCCAAAACTTTATCCACATGGTAAATAGTGATAGTGTCATGCTGTGAAAATGCTTGTCAGCAGAAATAGGAAATACTCTGACGTAAATCCAGAGTATTTCTGGTAGAAAACCTAGAAGCTCCAAAAAAACCTGAGATTGGGGAAGAGGTTCACCTACCAGTAGGATCACAACTCTATACATGAACAGCTCCTGTAGATCAAAGCAAATTGCCCAGTTTTTATATAAAATTTATCTGTAAAACATATTGGAAACCACATATTTATATTGTTTTAAAAATCTGCTCTATCACTTGAAATCCCATTTAAGTTTGTAACTGCAACATGACCAAATGTGAAATAAGATAAGGTTTAGGAATATTCCCAAGGCACAGTATTTGTAGCATTTATAATGAGTGTGATGTGCTTAGTGTTTACTGATCCAGTAGAACTGGTCCTGTTAAGTTTGAGTCAGTTAGTCTGATGGGGTGGGATGATGACTGGGAGGCGCCTGCCCTCTAATTACCCCCTGTTTCTACCAAACACCTCTTTGTTTACACCCTAAGGAGAGTCAAGTCCAGGCAGTGCTGCTAGCTGCGAACATTTCACTAAACTACCAGAGCCATGTCTGTTTTTGTGCTCAGCTCTCTCATGCTCTTCAGTGTAGTTTATGCCTCCGACCCTGCGGATCCAGTTCTGCTCGGACCTCCAACCATCGGGTTCAGCTCTTCGGTCCGCTCGGTTTGTAAGCCTATCCCCAGCACGTTGTCTCTGTGCCAAGGCATCGGCTACCGGCGTATGTGGATCCCCAACCTGCTCGGCCACGACTCCCTGAAAGAGGCCCAGCAGCAGTCGGCCGCCTGGCTGCCGCTCATCTCCAAGCTGTGCCACCAGGACACCAAGAAGTTCCTGTGCTCGCTGTTCGCCCCGGTGTGCTTGCCGGAGCTCGGCGGGCCCGTGAGCCCCTGCAGGAGCCTGTGCGAGGCCGTGCGGGACGGCTGCGTGCCCGTGATGAGCGCCTTCGGGTTCCCCTGGCCCGAGATGTTTAATTGCTCTCGGTTCCCGAGCGGGACGGAGCTCTGTATCCCAGCAACCGGACAGCTGGAGGAGCGGACTGAAGAGGAGGTCAGGCGCGAGGAGGAGCTGAAAGGTACAGCGTCTTTAGCATATTCCTACTTTTAACTATAACTCTAATTCAAACAACACATCACACAGTTTGAGTTTTCACGGCACCGTTCTGTAGACTTTATTTGTTTACTGGCTGCATTTCATTTTAATGCAAATTTAGCCCAAGTCAGTGGTTCCCAATATCAGGTTCGGGTCCCCACTGGGTGTCGCGATTAAACAAATGTGGGGCCTTAACATCTTTCTTACAAGCCAACCTAACAGATATAGACATAAATGAACGACATTTTCCTTGTTATTATGTTAATAGTGATTAATTGATACTGCTGTTTCCATTTGGGGTTTCTTCGGTCAGGTTGAGATGTTTGGCTGAAATTTACATACTAAACAAGCCCTGACAACGACTGTGATCATTGTAATCCGTACAGATGGTAGGCATTAACGATAAGTCAAGTCAAACCTCTGGATAATTATGTCTCTTTACTGAAGTGGCTGTGTTGCACAGGTCTGTGTGGATTCTGGAAAAAAAGTTGAGATTTCTGATCGCTGTGACGTAATTTATATCTTGCTTTTTACTCAATATTAAGTAGACAGCTTACTTCCTATATTTATAGAAAATTGGCCATTAGCAGTTTGGGTATATTTTTGAGTGGTTGAGTGTCTACAACCTCTCATTTCAATAGGAGAAGCTAAAAAGGACTAAAATAAGTTACTTGAAATTCCATCCAAAATGTTATTATAACATGAAGATTGTATATTTGTTTTTCTTTGATTTTTTTTCTTTACTTTTTATTTAACTACACGTTTTTACATAGAGTTTTTCTTGTAGTTGTATTTTTTTGTCTTTATGTTCTTTCATGTCATTTTGTTTCTTTGCCTGTTTTATTGATGTGACCACTGAATTTATTGCTCTGGAGATGAAGTCTGTTTTCATCCTCTGTTCTCTGCCCCCACTGCAGACAGCCAGAATTACAATCCTGTTTCTCTTTCCCTTCCACAGGGAGTATCATCTGTGATGCCTGCTCTCTGACTGCTGAAGGAGAGTCTGACATCCAGGAAAACTTCTGCCACAGTCCATACGGTGAGGAACCAACGTAGCCTTTCAGAACATTCCTCTCCTTTTTTATCCAGGAAGACTTGAATCGTTTTAATGTGATGTTTTTGCATAGACATTATACATTTTTAGATCAGAAAGTTGTCTGAAGTGACATTTTAGAAACAGCATTAAAATCTCTCCTTCTACGTCACAGCTTTAAAGATGCGTCTGGACAGTGTCTCAACAGTAGGAGGCGACCGTCAGCTGGTGCCTGTGGCCCGCAGCCGCATCCTGAGGTGGGCAGGGGGAGGTGCAGAGAGGGCGCAGGAGTTTGGAGGCGCAATGACCCACAGGGCTCTGTGGCTGCAGGAAGGAGGCTGTACTTGTCCCGGCTTAGACTTGGTAGAGACAAACAACAAGCAAGAGCAAAATGAGGAGCTGGTTGACAAAAAAAAGGCAAAGAGAGGAGGAAGGCTGGAGAACAGACCCCAAGATGGATGGTTCCTGGCCCTAGCTCAGGCTGAAGAAGGAAGACTCATTTTGACTCGACTCGTTAAGTGGACCCGAGAGGACAAAGAGCTAAAGAAGTTCATCAGAAGTCTTCTGAAGAAGCCTTGTCCAGAGCTGTAAACAAGTAGCCGTTTCAGTTCGCTGCAGAATGGAGCCGGTATGCTATTAGCAGTAACATTTTATATTTATTTGCCTAAATCTAACAGACACAACCATTCCTAAATACTACAGCTGAGAAAAAGAGAGACAACATCACAAAAATATTCACCCTTAAAGACTGAGTAGATACTCCCACCTGGCATAAGTTGTATGACACCCTTAAAATTTTGTGATTTAACTGCTAGGGATTATTAAAATTGTAAATATTCAGAATTGGATTTGTATTCTGATGAAGTTAGAATTTAACCCATTTTCCATTACAGCGGACATCATGCATTAGTAGTCTTTTAATTGATTTTGAGAATATTCCAACTGGAGTAATTGTTTCTATAGTAAAAGCTTATTTTGACGATAACCCATAGTTTTTTGTGAATAAAGCAATTTATTTTATTAATTAGTTTGCTTTTTTTTTGCATTACCACATCTTTTTCTAACAAGGTAGGCATATTTACATGACAAAAAGACTTAGAGGAAGCGAAGTATATCTAATATCTAAGTTGAATAGGTTTGGTGCAAGAAATAAATGTAGTAACAATGAATCTGAAGATGGGCAGTAAGGATGCTGAAGTAGTTTAAGTAGCTGATGATGCTGAGGATGCACTAGCTGACAACTCAAGGACAAAAGTAAAAAAACTTTAAACATAAGAAAGCATAAAAAAAATACCTTCAGTGTGGGAAGCTTGTTTTTGTGTTTGTACTGACAAATGTGTCCATTTCCTATTCCATTTAGTGCAATAAGCAAAACATCTGCTGGTTTTGTTAGAAATGTTAATTATTGAAAAGGCATAGTTCAACAGGGGGCCTGGGGAGGATCTGAAGAGTTAAGGCAAGAAACTAAATGGCTGAGGGGACAGAAGCATCAACAGAGGAGAACATTTTTTTATGACACTGAACAACATTAGAAAATTGTAAACTATGAGGCCGCTTTTATCCTTTTCACCGTGTGAAATGGTATTAGCTCTTTTTCACATACACATTTCCAGTTCTAAATGCATGTTTCCCATGTTTTGAAAGTATGAAATAATAATAAAAAATATATATATCTGGCGTTATCAGTTTTCAGTTCAAGTTGTCCACAGCCTGATTGTTACACAATTCAGACTTGCAAGATGCTACTTTATTTGATTTGTTATGTTTTAGAAAACCTTTCAACTCTGAAGAATGAGACATAGAGCTGTATTCTGATTGTTGGCAGTTTCAACTATTTGTGGTGAAGTTGCACAGGCAGTGATGGTGATGCAACGTTTGGAAAGTTACTATTTCACATCAAGTGTAGCCTTTCAACGACAATGTTTGTGGAGTTTGACTTGCATGCAGAAAGAAAATATCCACATCATAAAGAAATTCTCAAGTCATATTAATTAACTTTTTTCATCCAATTTGTATGTATCTCACATAGTTTTGCTATGTTTGAATATTCCCCTCTGTATTTAATTAAACCCCATCAGTGTATTATTACATTTTGTGTTATAGTTTTGCATGAATTTTCTGCTCATTCTTTTCTTTATCTTTCCACCATGACTCAGTGAAGACAGAAATTGGACTCCACAGAAACACACCTGTTGATGTTAACTTGATATATCGGTTTCATGCCGCCTCCATCAGTATCACTGTCTGCTCCTACACACATAATTTGCTCTGGTTTAGATATCGGCAGATGGGGATCTAACACGTCTCATTATAAAAGCAGACAAACCGATGTTTCAACTTTACGTTACCTTCATTAAAACAACTGCCAATAATCACGGTGTACATGCTGTCAGTCACGTGATGCATAAATTATTCAAACTGCAGAGTGTCCGAGCTTCTCAGATACAGGTGCATTCCTCTCCTGCTCAGCTGGTCTGCTTCTTTTCACTTCTGTTTAGTGAAGAGTCACTGTTCTTTAGAAAACAGGTAAGTTTTTCTTACTATTTTCATTTGAACATTTGTTATTTGCATACGATCCACAGCAGAGAGCTTGTGGATGCAGTTTGAGAATGGTGGAGCATTTTATTCTCATAGACTTAAGAATGAAAACGTACGATAAATTGTCTCAAAAGTTTATAGAGCTTTGTACATTAAGCCGCCAATCTCAGAAAAGGCAAGTAAATGGAAAGTATTTCAACATAATTGTTAATTCAAATTAATAGTTCTGTCATTTAAAGACTGCAATAAGTTTAGACAAATCATCTTGCTTCTGTAAAATGAATATATAGTGGAAATAATTGCTTTAGTGGCTCAAAATAACAGATAGATTCATAGAACAGTAAGTCATTGTTGTGTAATTTGCACACATAAGAATGTTGATACAGAAGCATCCTTCCGTGATACTTTATACATTTTTAATATTGTTCAGCTAAGTATATAGTAACTTGCCAAAAATATAGTAGTTTCAAAACAAAAATCAATTAATGAGCCAATAATAATAACTATAGAGTTTTTTTGTAGTGATATAGGTATGGTAATATTACTGGAGCTGATATAAAAAGGACTACATTTCTTTTAAGTAGACAATTTGTAATTAAAGCTGTTGGAACATTTTGCTAATCCAAATTGTGACCATGGAGTTTAATATTTATTTATGAAGAATAAATATGTAGCGCTATCTCCAAATACTATTGGTTGTAATAGTATTTTTTGTAATAGCTCTTACAACAGATAACTGTTCAATATGTACAAATGATCGTAGTGTTATTTACACAGCTGCCTTGAAGCAAGTTTGCATGTCGTCTGTGTAGAGTCTGTCATGTCCACACAGGTCACAGGTCATTCCTATTATATTCAAAATGGTGGCAATACAAAAGTTACGCTCTTTTCTACAAGGAACAAAATAACAAATGGGTCATGTATTTTGATTCCCAAAGTTTTGGTTGGACCTCTCCTTATTTAGAAACTCAGTATTCGGTAACACTTTATTTGAAGGGGGGTGAATAAGACTGACATGACACCTGTCATGAACATGAATAAGCCTTCATGAATATTTATGACTGTTGTCATAAAGCGTCATTCGGTAAATTATGACACTTTTAATACAAAGCTGACATTATTCAAAATGTCTTTGATATGACAACTTGACATTAACCAATAAATCATTACTGTTTAAACTTTACCTTTAATAAAATAAAGTTACCTAATTTTTAAAGTGCAATCAGTAATACTTTTATAACAAATTCATATCAGAGTTGATATAGAGTCCAGTCCAAGAGTTGAAGACCGCTGTCAAAGAATAAATGAGATTGCATGACACTTCTAATAAAATGTATACATCTCCCGTTTTCTTTCTCTTCAAGGATGGTGTCCCCTGCTATTGCTTTGGCTTTTCTTCCCCTTCTGCTGACACTGATAATCAGGTACCGCTACTACTTTGTGCTGTTCTACCGGGCGGTTCTGGTTAGGATTTGGAAGGACTGTGTAACCGGTTTGAGCCGAGAAGAGCGTGCATTCCAGTACGTTCTGACTAACTCCACACCTGGGGACCCAGACAGCATCCTGGACGCCTTCGATTACTGGAGCAGCAAAGTGGAGTTCATCAGCAACATTGGGCCTAAAAAAGGCAGGGAATCCGTTTACTTCAGTGTGCATGAAGTGTTGATGTGAAGAACATTCTGAGTTCATACCTGCTAGAGCTTGTGAGTGTTTTTTGATGTTTAGGTAAGATCCTGGACCGCCTTCTGATGGAGCAAAGCCCTTTAACAGTGCTGGAACTGGGAGCTCATTGTGGATACAGCACCGTGAGAATCGCCCGGGCTCTTCCTCTTGGGGCCCGACTCTACAGCATAGAGATGGATCAAGGGAACGCAGCCATTGCTGAGAAAATCATCCGTCTGGCAGGATTTGACGATGACACGGTGAGACAGCAGGAAATGGCCAGCTACTCGTGAAATCCCCCTTAATGCAAACTTTTTGCTCTGTGTCATCTATTTGCATCTTCAGGTGGAGCTCATTGTGAATCCATCTGATGAAGTAATACCTCGGCTGCGGTCCGACTACAACCTGGAGAGGCTGGATTTTGTCTTCATGGACCACTGGAAGAAATGCTACCTGCCTGACCTACAGGTAGTAGATTAATAAATAAACAGCTAGTAGATTAATAAAGAAACATTAACATTGTTCCATTCTGTTTGTTTCAGTTACTGGAGGGATATGGTCTGCTGGGAAAAGGGTCTATGATTGTGGCTGACAATGTGCTGTTTCCCGGGGCTCCAAAGTTTCTCCGATACCTCCGGAAATGCGGCTTGTATGAGTGGAAGATCCACCGAGCCACGCTGGAGTACAGCAAGGGCATCAGGGATGGGATGGCTGAGCTGATCTACCAGGGAATTAAATAAAATTTACTTTACTGTTGGAATACATGTTAATAATGACAGAGAATAATTTTATAGCAATTTTGTTAAGAAAACTGACAAAGTAAAAATGATCTGATTTATGACTGATTATGTTATTGGGATTGTGCGTGACAGACAAAGTAGCAACTGATGGGGGAAAAAAAGTGATTAGTGGTTCTAAAACGCTTTAAAAATGTTATCTCAAAATTGAGTTGTGCCTTTGCAGTCAGCCATGTTTGCTCTCATACTTTGAAATAAAATCCAGTGTAAGCAAATGTCTGAAGGGGTAATCTAGGCTAGTAGCTAAAAGAGGGGACCAGTAGAAACTATGCTTATGGGACAAAGACAATATGTGGAAGAACATGCCCAAGTCAGACGAGGCTAAAATTCTTCTTAATAGCTTACATGCAAAACTAACTTTGCTGACCACCATACTCACAGGGAAACATGGTAGTGTCAGCATCATGCTGTGGGAAATCTTTTTGGCAGGGAATGAATTAAGCCAAACACAATACTTCCTGGACAATCCTGGAAGGAACTTTTTTTTGTCAAAAGACTTTGACGATGTGACATAGCTTCACCTGCCAATGGGATACTGACCATAAATATGCTGCTAGAGTTACAAAGAAATTATTTGTATCAAAGCATTTTTTTTCAGTTGAAACTTAAATCCAGCTTACTTTTAATATCAGAACTACTTTTTTCTAGGTAAATGAGGAAGGCATTCTATTTTTATACCTAAGATTTTATTGAAGATGTGAAACAGCATTAAAAAGTGAAGCTTTCTGTATCCACCCAAATATTCCCCAACGAGCAACGAGTCATTGGAGAGTCAGTGCTAATTAGTAAATTAGATTTCAATCTGTCAATCATATTTTCATACTAGTGTAAACTGTAGAAAAGTATTTTGATTTAACTCTAGCATTAAAATCAGGATTGAAAACGCCAAGACCAGAGATAAAATAAATAAAATCTTTCAAATAAAGTATATGTTACTTAAATGCACTTTGACATCAGAGCTCCTGTAAAACTTCAGTTCACTGGCCCAGCTCCAGAAATTAAACACCGAAATAAAGAAAGTTAATGTTGGACTCTCACCAGAGAAGTACAATTAAAATTTTTTCCAGCCTTTAAACAGGATTTACATAATCCTGACCCAATATTAGACATTTTTAACATTTATCCCAATAAACAACAAGAAAGCACTAATAAAATACATAGCTGTTTAATTTATAGCAAATAAAATCAAAAATACAAATAGAACAAAAAATAATCTCTCAAAAAAGTGAATCTTTGTGATGACCTTTAACTGAGACCTGTAACTTTAATCAGAGCATTTGTTCCCAGCTGCAAACTATAAAGATAAGAGAGCTGAGAGAGCATTCTGTCTGAACACATTACTATTTTACAATATATTTTTTTTTTTTAAACCTTCTACTGAAGGAGAGTTTACAACCGCAATTCAGTAGCACTGCAATAAAAGAGAAGTGGACTCTTTTTTTTTTTTTTCTTTTAAAGATGGGCTGTTTTTACAGGTAAACTATTTTGCTGACCAAAGCAATATTCCCTGAATCAGCAATTCAGAACATCTCCATAGCACATGACTTAAGATATGACCAGGTCAAAGTTTAAATGGCAGATTGCTGGATTGAGTGTGTGCAAAACAGTCCCTGGGTCTACGTCAGGGCACCTGACAGGTTTGGAGCAGCTTTAACCAGATTGATTGGTTAAGTAAGCCTGCAGTTAAAAACAAGAAATGCGGACCAATGGCAGTATTTATACACAAATCTCCCATCTCTGAGTGTGTTCCAGGCAGCAGACTTCACAGCAATGTCCAACAATGTCTACAGCTTTAAAAACTGATGGATCACAGCTTAAGATTCACCTGAACGCTCCCCTGAAGTATCTTAATGTGTTTCAACTAGATTTTCATCCCAGGTGCACAAATATTAAAACATATCTGAGTCACAGAGTGGTTAGGCATCAGTCACATTTTTGGTAGCGAGTGTAAATCCAGACGCCGATTGCGACAGAAAATTGCTTTAAATCATCCACTGGTCCTGGTCTTGGTCTGCTCCTTCCATGTCCACCTGACCGAGGGAAACAAGGGCATATTTATCTATTTTGGGTTTGATTAGAACAACAAGTGATGGCGGTAGCTACATTAAAAGGTTAAATTAAGGTACCTCATTGATCTCGCCGTCATCAGGCGACTCGTTGTAGTCATTCATCTCGTCCATGTCCTGCATGTCTTCTTCATCTTCCGAGTCTTCCTCACTGTCTTCCTCATCCTCATCATCCTCTTCCTCCTCCTCCTCATAACCTGCCTGCATCCATCAAATAAAAACTACAATGAACTTAACGATTTATATCGCTTCTTGGACAGCTTTCAAAAACATCTAACACCAAGAGATCTGAAAAGTGTTGCATGCATGTGCATGGACGCCCCCTGAGTTTGAGCCATCCTTCACCACAATTACAACTTCAAGCTTCCCCAACTTCAACTTTTGGGGTACATCTCTAACCCTCTGTGAGCATCTACAGACTCAGTTTGTTGCTCCTTCTTTTCTGCAAAAAACAGCTCAAGTTCAGACAGTTCAAATGAAGAGCCACTGTGAGCTACTGCAACAAAGACAACCAGCTTTCGTGTAAACATTTATTTAAAATCTTACCATGTAATCTCAATTTGATTCCAGTCTGGACTAACATGTGGACATGCTTAATCTAATTAATGCTATTGTAGCTCTGGCTGCATATTTAAGGACTAAATCTCCTCTGCCCAGAGCATCTTCTTCGACATTTTTAGCATTGCATGGCTCGGTGGAAAAGAACCTGCCCCATGTATAGGAGTAATGGTCTTCTACCCAGAAGTCCCAGGTTCTATTCCTGATCTATTTGGTGTGTATCCTCCCCCTTCCTGCCAAGCTACTAATAATGAAAGCCATTAGTGCTTTATATATTTATATTAAGAGTAAAATACACAGATATGGAATCTATTTGCTAATAAGTGGTTTCAAAAGATAAATGGTTGCACCGGATTCTATTTGGAAGTTTCATAATTTCCTTCCACTTACCAGTTACAGGTAAGCACAACCTTATCTTGGTCTACCACAGAAAAATCTTAATAAAATACATTGAAGTTGTGGTTGTAATGTGATTTAAAAGAGAGAGAGAGAGAGAGAGAGAGAGAGAGAGAGAGAGGGAGAGAGAAAGAGAGAGAGACAGAGAGAGAGACAGAGAGAGAGTGTTTTATTCACGCTAGGAAACCACGCAAAACGGTTTATTCTCAGCCTGCGATTACCTCAAAAACAGGTTTCCCGATGGGCATTAAGTTGTTGTCTTTCTCCGCGATGCTCTGCAGCTGAAGAGACCAGAGATCATAAGTTTAAAAACACGGGAACTGGGAGCAGGGAAGACAGGAAGCAGAGTGTGAAGGTATACCCAAGTTTGATGTTGCTGCTCCTGCTGCTGCAGCTCCGTCTCGTCCACGCAAGGTCTGTCCAGGTTGAACCACAGAGACTCGGTGACCCGCGGGAGCAGGGACGGAAACAGTGTCGACATGACTCTCAGAGAATAAGTCCAAAAACAAGTCAATGTGACTCTGGAGCTTTAAATCCAGAGCTCGCCCTGAAACACAACAGCAGCACAAAGACTTTTTAAATTCGGGAATATAGTATACTATTTTAAATAAAAGATTTAAAGAATCATTAGAATACATTCAAAACCATAAAGGATAATATTTTCAGGGATATTAAACTCTGTACCTGTCAGTATCTCGCTGCTGCTTCGAAATAATTCAAACCAACGAAAACCGGAAACAAGCGGTGTTCATCTATAAAGTCCCCCTCAGAAGTGTTCCGCTTGCGTAAAAAAATACCTTAAGCGCATGTCCCAACAACACCAATACAGAAGCAAAATTTACATTGTTCTTCAAACAATGGCTTATATCTTTGACTCAATGACGCTAAGAAAACGTGAATCTAGTATCGTGCATGTTTGTGTAACTTGTAATGGAAATGTAAGAAAACGGAGAGCATACAAGCTTCTTTCCTCTTTGTTGTTTGAAGCATGATCATAAATTCAGACTTAATTTGTACTCATCTGTTATTAACCAGAAAAAAGAACAGTTCAACACTCGAAATTTCTCAAAATGTCAAAAATAAAGATCAAATATCTACTTGTATGATACCCCAAATATAAAACAATGCACAGAGTTTTGGTTCAGTCAAGTTTGGTGTTGATGACTGACAGCAAACAGAAGCTCATGAGCTTTCAGAAGAAATTACTGTAACTGACACTGGTACAGGTAATCCCAAAGTTGCTACCATTAGCAGAAGCTATTTTTACATGACAACATGTAAATGTGTGTTGAGTGTACTCTCATCCCTGACAAATGAATGATACGAGCCTCAAGACATGTTCAATTTTTTTTTCTTTTGAATGTTTGCCTTTCTTTGTTTTTTTTTCCACCCACAGTTTATAAGATTTATGGATGTTTATTCAGATCTGATAATATACAACATCTGCTGTAGCCCAAGTGACTTCACATGTTAAAAACATACTGTGAATTGTTAATATTTCATCTAAACCAGCTACTCACGAGTGTGGCAAAAAGATATCTGGAATGCTTCTTTTTTCTTCTAATGACTCACCATGCTATTTTATGTAAGTTTTTCAATCACATGTAGGTAGGAGAGGGCGGATGAACAACCTTGAGGTTGGCCAAACTTTCTCCTACCACATGTAATAAAATCTCAGATTATCACACACTTCAGTTTTTGCCTGTTCTTGCTATTTCCTACAACTGTGACCTAGACTTTGAACTTTGGAAACAAATTACTTACTAGTTATGGAGGGATTTGTCTTCATCCACACTCCACTCAGGAAGCTTGAGAGAGGAGTGTTCAATGTATGTGCTTTGAATTTCCTGTTTTGTCTTGAGAAGTGTGCTCGAGGTTGACTGGGGATAAAGTTTTACTTGATAATTTTGTCAAGACAGAAACTGAAAAGGTAAAAGAGATTTGTTCTTTATTTCTTTCGACTAAGTCTAAAAGCAAGACTCTTTGACACTATGAAAGAAATTGTGATATGTTTAGTCTATGGTAAAAGTTTTGATTTTGTATCCTGAGAAAAGACTAAACTGTATGTGTGGTCTCCATATGTAGCAAATACCCTATTTCTAGATATATAGGGGCTAATACAGCACAGCAACGTTATTTAAGTCCTGATTGTTTTCCATTGCTAGAAATATTACTCACAGTAATTGCAGTTGTACTTTTGTAAAAGGTGATTCTACAAAGTTTTGGCATTAGTATGAATGGAAATTAATGTCACACTTTGTAAAACAAATTTTAAAAACCATTTATAATTTCCCTTCGACTTCATAATTATGGAACAGCACTAAACAGCAACGTCTCACACTCTAGAAAAAAAAACAGATAGCAGCTTTTGTACTTAGTATCAGTACTAGGGGCAGAGGCTTGAAACGATTCAGTTATATTACATAGAAAATAATGTATTTTTATTACAGTTTGATAGTGTTCAAAAACTTAAATATCTTTGCATGCTATTGTGTATAGCAGTCTGAATTCAACTCAGTAGGTGATTCCCTTATGGTTTTTAACTTAGTCACAACTCCACTTCTAATAAACGTTTAGCTTGTAGACTAATATTTTTTACTGTATTGCCAAATATATGATACAGGTGTCCTGTGGCCTTGAGCAGTGGCCGTCCCACTTGTTCCAGCAGTGGGAATATTTAGTCTTACGCTCTAGAAAAAACACAGATAGCTACCTCTGTATATCAGTAGTAGGGGTAGATGCTTGAAAGGACTTAGTTACAGGTATGCAGGTGGAAGATTTAGATTGAAAATAAAATATGAATACAATGACTAAAAGTGACAAATGAAGGCAACCTAAATAATTCACATAATCTTAACATTACTCTGTGCTAACAAGATTAAAAAAGAAAACACAAAGACATGTGCAAGGAGTGAAGGAGGAACTACAAGTTCTCTTAAAGTTAATTATGAATACAAATTTTAATTCTTTCTGGTAATGGTTTAAAAATGGGTAGACATCCCTTCAGATTAAGCTGGATTTTTGAAAAGTACTATTAGCGAATGGCTGCTGCTTTCGTGTTTTCTTGGCCACGTGATAACAAACCTCCACAGGTTGTTTTCCCTCTACAGCCATGCTGCTGTTCCTGGGCTGTCTGCTCACCCTTTCCAGTGGCGCTCTGTGTCTGGACCAACTCAACATGTGCATGAATGCAAAACATCACAAAGTGGAGCCTGGCCCTGAGGGAGCACTGTACGGTCAGGTTAGGAAAAACATTCAGGGTGTTACTGACGTTGAACAGCAAAGAAGGCTATTTCAAGCGGTAACTTCAAGTCGTGATGTAACATCCTCTTTTGCAGTGTGCCCCCTGGCGTGAGAATGCATGTTGCACTGCTAACACCAGCGAAGAGGCTCACAATGACAACTCTTACCTGTATTATTTCAACTGGAACCACTGCGGTGCTATGAGCTCCAAGTGCAAGCAACATTTCATCCAGGACACTTGCTTCTATGAGTGTTCCCCACACTTAGGACCCTGGATACAATCGGTGTGTATTGTCGAAGTGTGTCTGTGAGATAGCAACACTAGATGGCAGCAAAAGTATTTGACCAAAAATGGTAAACTTGAAGTTCATTTTAAGCGTCTTGTTGGCTCGAATTAGATTTATGAAAAATACTTTACAGATTAATTGGATGATGGTGAATGTCAAGTTCATTTTTAAACACATTTAAAACTGTCTAAATTTAAAAAGTTTAGAGTTATGCACATAAAATGAGAAAATGATCCAAGAGTGGAAAAAAAAAAACAGCACAAAATAAAGATTTACATATGTTTATTGGAAAACGTTTTCCTGATTGTTTCTAAAGGATTAAGATTATGTGAGAGGAATGGTCAAAGGGTCCCGACAGCATTATATTGGTTTTGGTCATTTTGGACTCAGAGCCATCTGTGATTTCAAATAATTCAGGCAATAAAGTAAGGCATTAAGAGTGGCTGCTTTGTTTTTATTCAGAGGAGATGATATATCCAAGAACCATGTATGAGATGAAATTGGATGTTTCATTAAAGTTTATTCAAATGACAGGACCAGGAGTCAATCTTCACAAAAAGCTCAAATACTAATTGTGAAAACTACTTAGTCTGTGATTTATAAAAGAAAACTTGAGCTGACTCCATGGTGGGCTTTAAGACCAGACATAAGTGAAATTTTTCACTCATGTAATTTTATTAAAAAAAATAACTGATTTACCAGAGAACACTGATTTATTTGCAAAACTCATGTGTTGTGAAGAATTCTGTTATAGAAGAAGGTTGTCCCTTGTGTTTAGGCAGATGAAAGCTGGCGAAAGGAACGGATCTTGAACGTGCCTCTTTGTAAAGAGGATTGTGAACAGTGGTGGGAAGACTGCAAGGATGATTTTACTTGCAAGACAAATTGGCACGAGGGATGGGATTGGAGCTCTGGTAAGATACACGAGAAGCAAAGAGCACAGACATAGAACAATATGTTTGACTATGTGTACAAATGAGTAACTTCTTTGTATTCCTTTATGTAACATTTATGCATGTCTCCACATTTCTCTCACAGGTATCAACAAGTGCCCTGCAGGCAGTCAATGCAGAAAATGGACTGATATCTATCCAACACCCAAATCCATGTGTGAACAAATCTGGTCCAACTCTTACCTTTACACCACCCTTACCAAAGACTCTGGTCGCTGCATGCAGCTTTGGTTCACAGGATCAAACCCCAACAAGAAGGTGGCCGAGTACTACCTCAACACCGCTCAGCGGGGCCAAAGTTTTCCCGTGACAACGCTACTCTTCCTGACTGCCACGTCTTTCTTTGTAACCATCTTCTAGCATGACCCTGTTGCCATATCTTACATTACAATAGATTCAGTAATTAAAGTGTTTTGAGAAACATTTTTCTGAGTGTTTTTTTTTTTTAAAGATTGAGCATGCTTTTCTTCTTTTTCAGTCGTAAAGGTGACTGGCAAAAAGCAAAAGAAATACGTCACTGCCACCTTCTATTCCCAAATGTGGCCCAAACACCTATATGCTGTTTATTAAGCTAGAATGTTTGACTAAATAAAAAAAATGCTTAATAGCATGATATTCCAGGCTTTCAGTTATAGTATATATAAAATTTTCCTGAACTCGTTTCATTCAGTTCAATTCAATTAAAAATACTTTATTGATCCCAAAGGGAATGACTTTATTCAAAGTTCTTCAAAGAGTTGTTGAAGATGCTGATGGCAGTGGGCAGGAAAATTGTCTGTAGCAGTCAATATGACAGCGAAACAGAAGAAGCCTCTGATTGAAGACACTTATGACAAACTTATGAAGAGAATGCTTAGGCTTCTCCACAATTTTTATTTTATGTAAAATTCTTCTTTGCACCATAATCTCCAGTGGTTCCACAGTAGTCCCTAGAAGAGAACCAGCCGTCTTTCACGAAGCTGAAGTTGGTTTCCAATTCCAGCTTCCAATAGCTAAAGGGCGATTCCACTTAATATTTAAATACCTGTGTAGGGGCTGGTCCCTTGGTAACTAACCCTAGTCAAAGCACCCCGGATGAATGTCTAAAGCCACTTTGTTGACATAAAGAATATCAACAATTCTAGAATCAGTCCGTCTCCGGTTGGGAGGGGAGCCTTCCGCGACTGGGCCGGGGCGTGGCCAGACGATGGTCAGCCTTCTCCGTTCGCGCACAGCATGTTCATGGAGAACGTGGTGCTAAATGACCCGCAGATGACCTGATTATAGACGGTCGGCAAGTAGATAGGTCAGTCAAACTTTATTAACAAACCAGCATTCTGACAACTATCCCAGCATGCACCGCGCGCTTCTTCTTCTATGGGCGAAAATGAAGTCGGCGGCTGCTTACCGTAGTTGCCAGACCTGTTGTGGCTCAATATTGGTCCATATATAAGGCGCACCGGATTATAAAGCGCACTGTCGGCTTTCGAGGAAATTGAAGGTTTTTAGGTGCGCCTTATAGTGCGGAAAGTACAGTATTTATTTTCCTCAACCACCACAACTTCTTCTCCCATTATGGAAATAGTTTAATTCTAGAATTGTGTTAATTCTGGCATTAATGTTTTTGAGCCTCCCAACTAAAGGCAAAACCTCTAAGTCTTCCATCCTTATTCTGTAACTCCAAATCAGCTTGGTTCATCACTGATCATTTTCTTTCCTGTTTTGGAGTCTCAGGGCTATTCTAGGCCTTTGTATGTGGAGTTTGAACACTCACCTGGTTCTAGGAGGGAACTCCTGCTTCTTCCCACAATCTACAAACAAGCACGTTATTTTAATTGGCCCATTCTTCGT